TGGCTCAGTCCCGTCTTTGTACAGTTATGTTTCTATTAGAGGTCTGCAGATAGTATGTCTAGTTGGGTTGTATGTGGCCTTGTCGGCTTTCAGTTTTGGATGTATAATTGTCTATAGCAGCCTTGACGGCTCGCCCACTATATTCTGCACGTATACGTACATGTGCCTTGATGGTAGGTTTCCTTCACGTATGTTATTTTCGTAATGCTGTAGACGTTATACAGGTTCATATCTTGGACGCATGTTTAGGGGTGTTTGACAGGTAGGACTCAGGCACACGTCGCGGCCCATCGGTTTGGGTCGTGACATATCTACTATTACACAACTCTAGAATTTGCCAGGGTTCTTTATCTCTTATTGACATAACCTTGCGCAATCCACCATCAAAAATTCTCGGAATCTTTCTATAAAACCCCTTTTTATACTCTGAATCTTCAACCACATTCGCATGACCGATCTCTTTACTGTATAACCCATAGAATTCTTTGCAGAAGCTTCGCCAACCATGCGACCGCCGGTCTGCTCACTGGAGATAACCCACCTGGGGAATCTACGTGCCAACATCTTCCAACGCTGCTGCACGGGGTACAATCACTACTACATCAATAACCTATCCTGAGTCCGAGCTCACTCTCTAGTTGCACAAGTCCATTCACCCCTCATGGACATCAATTAAATGTGCAGCAACATCTTTCTAATTCAAAGTTATGTTGTATCCTTCTGCATTTCAAGAAGCTACTTTCCATTGTACCAAATCTTCTGCCGCGTAATAGCCCATACTTCAGCTTAAATCCGTAGACCCCAATCACCATTCACTAAAATTCCCAAATCATTCCAAACTCTCCTTAAAGAGCATAGTCATCCTACCACAAAGCTCATGTGCAACTTCGCCACTTTCCCACTTTGGTGGAACTCACCCCTTTAATCGACCACTCGACCTTTGCTTCTTATACCTAGCCTTCTAGAAATTTTTTAACCACTGCCTGACACTCCCCACGTGTCCTTCCTCATCCTTTGCTGCTCAATTGTTGCCTTAAATAAAATCTATCTTCGTAGCACTCGAACCCAAAAATCGCTACTAACTTTAAACCTTTCCAGAGATCATCTTTCTCGAGCCGTCATCATTAGAAAAACCGATTCAATCCTGGACTACCGCACTCCGCAATCTATGACAACCTTTTCTCCAATATTATTTTACAATATCTTACCCCAAAGGCGAATTGCAGAAGACCATAACACCGGTGAACTGAACACATATAATCGCAGATGAAAATTCCACCACACTCGAAAATACCAAGTCTCGTTACTCCATCACCCCAAATCTAGACTTTCATAGGCCAATTGTTTTTCCCTCTGCCGGATATGAAATATTGAATCTATGAATCGTGCACTGAGTAGACAAGAACCTTGCTAACACGTCCATACTGTGCGACTACCGATCATGAGCAATCATAGAAATCTGCGCATAGACTCAATGCTCTCAGTAATACTATTACTGAGTAGAAATGGCAAGATAGCCTTCCGCAAGGCGACGACAATAGCCCAATCAACTATACCAGGAGAAAACCCCCGCACCACATCTGTAGTACTATTACAATTCTTCAATTCTCGATTTATAACAAGCGGTTCGCGTCGCGTAAGATTGACTACGAAGGAAACAAGGGCATAAATCCAAAAGGAATCAAACCGCACGATGAGGAATCAAGAAGGGAAGTGCTCCTAACAGCCCTGTAGCCTCTCGAAGATAAGTACAGACGTCTCCGTACCGATCCGCAAGACTCTACTAGACTTGCTCATGACTCATAAGACCTAAGAGAACCTAGGGCTCTGATACCATATTGTCATGACCCAAAATCCACTAAGGGTCGCGATGGCGCCGGACACCGCAGTCAGACAAGACAACCAAAATACTCAATTAAATTCTCATTTTAATAATCTTTGAAAACTATGATTTTCTTTCAATTTTACTAGTAAAAGGTAATCATTTCAAATTAAATATAAACGTTAAGAAGTTAATACAAGATACCCCATAATCATCCCAGAACTCGGTGTCACAAGTGCATGAGCATTTACTAGGAAATAAAATAAAATGCAGTAACTGTCCGGAATACAAAGTGGACAAAAATGGAAATATAGTACAATACTCTGAAAGAGACTCTGCTGGCTACGGGTTATCTCGATAAATGTAGCTCATCTAAGCCTCCATATCAACCATGCCGCTATGCCACTAAGGCACTAGCCACACATGAACCTATGCAAAAAAAATGCACAGCAAGTGTAATATGAGTACGAAAACAACGTGTACCCAGTAAGTATCCCATCTAATCTCGAAGAAGTAGAGATGAGAGGTCGACTTTGACACTTACTAGTGGTCCAATAATAATATATTATTAATTCGAGTAATCATGGATTTATTAAGAACGGCAGTAATTTCAAATAAGTCACGAACAGGTAAAACTTCCTTTTTGTATTAAAAATCTCCGGATTTATAATCTATTAATTTTCAATTATCTCAAGTCTGGGAGAGCAAATATCAGTATCAATAAATCTCAAGGCAAGCAATACAAGCATGCACAAATCATGCCGAGGTCGTACGGCCCTACCCAACAATATTTAAACCGTGCACTGCCAGAGGGTCGAATGACGCGAACCATAGATGCATATATTTAATCTACCAAGACGTTCGGCCCATTCCGAAATTAAACACATACAGACAGTCAATCAAGAAGTCAATATGGAACAATTATCCAAGAAAAAGCCAATTCTCTTTTAAAAATTTTATAAAAATGAAGTTCAAACCTTTTAGAAATTCATTTACCAATTCGATTGGATTTAAGTAATTCATTTTCCAATAAGGTTATAAATATTCCAAGTATAACATGCTTTTGGGTCCTAGACTACCCAGACTTACACATAATAGTAGCTACGCACGGACTCTCGTCACCTCGTGTGCACGTAGCCCCCACAAATAGGAGCACATAACCAATTATTTCACCTATGGGGACAATTCCCTCTTACAAGGTTATAAAGGAGACTCACCTCGCTCCGAAGATCCATAATCAGCATTCCACACTCTTCTGAAGACTCGAATCGATGCACATTTCTCCAAAACTAACCAATAATTATGCAAATCCATTAATATATGATAAATTACTCATTACAATCCAATTTATAACAATTCCTAACCCTGATCGAAAAGTTAATAAAATTGCCCCCAAGCCCATGTGCCCGGATTCCGAAATTTTTCGAAGGTAAAATTTACCCATGAACTCACGAACTCAAATATATGATTTTCCTGAAAACAACTACTGTACCTGAAATATATGCCACAACTGTTGTACCTGAAAACACTCTGGCTCTTAACAGAGTAAATACCCTGTCTCCAGATAGAGTAAATACTCTGCCTTCAAACAGAGAAAACATCAAAATCACATCACTCCATATTGTAAACCGCATTGATGAGGGGGAACAAGGAATAAGCAAAACTGCTAATAACCAAAAGACTGCTGGCAAGAACAGTGGGGTCAAGTAACTTAAGGATATTGCAGACAAGGCCATAATGCTTCATCCACCTTCACTTGATTTGGCAACGCCACTACATAATCAAGAAAAATAATAAGAAAACATGTTGGAAATGGAAGGGATTTAGATGAGGAATCAACTGCTCAAAATTTCCTCAATGTGGCAAGAAAATGAGATCTCTCTCCGACTCATATTGCAAAAGTAAAATCTCCGACAAAGGCAAAAAAAGGAAAACTCAACAGAAACAAAGCTGGCATGCCTACTGCTGGGATCCAAACTTGAAGAGCTCTAACTAAATCAAATAATTTGTAATGGATGCAATTATTTGGAATATTAGATCTGTCAATACGCAGCAATCCTTTGAGAGGCTAGTAACAATGCATAGACAACATCATTTCGATTTTGTTGGTCTCATGGAACCAATGCAGGATAATAAAAATCTTGAATTGTACAGAAGAAAAATAGGATTATCTCAAGCTTTTTCAAACATTTCAAATAAGGTGTAGGCTTTCGTTGACGATCTGTATGAAGTCACAGTGCTATACGACATGGAGCAGCAACTGACGTTAAAAATGATTCATACAGAAACACACATTGTGCAGATTATTACTTTCGTTTACGCCAAGTGTGATGCAATCGAAAGAATTGAACTTTGGGACTCATTGTACGCAATGTAAGCAGATATGGATATTCCTTGGCTTGCTGGTGGTGACTTCAACGTCATATGGGACGAAGAGGAAAAGTTTGGGGGACTTCCAGTGACTTTGAATGAAGTCAATGATTTCCGACATTGGATGAACACTTGTAATCTTTTTGATTTGGGCTTCAAAGGAAGTATATACACCTGGTGGAATGGAAGAGCAGAAGAAGATTGCATTTTCAAGAGACTTGACAGATGTATGACTAACATTGAATTTCAACAAATGTTCCCTGGAATAGAAGTTACCCATCTGCCAAAAATTTGGTCCGACCATTGTCCCATGTTGTTAAAATGTGATCTTGAAACTATTGCGATAAAGAAATCCTTTAAGTTTCTTAACTTTTGGACAAAACATTCGACGTTCAAAGACGTGGTCAAGGCAAATTGGCAAGCCTATTTTGAAGCAAATCCTTTCACTTTATTCAACCATAAGATGAAAAGAGTGAAGAAAGAATTGTCAATCTGGAGAAAATCAACATATGGAGAAATTTTTAAGAAGATTTCCAGTTTGGAAGAGGTCGTCAAGGTTCACGAGGCGCAATTTGAAATAAATCCAACTCGGGCAAATAGGGAAAGGCTTTGCAAAGTTCAAGTAGAACTTATCAAATTTCTTGCTCTTGAGGAACAATTTTGGAAACAAAAGGCAGGGATGGCATGGTTTAATGATGGAGATAGAAACACAAAATTCTTCCATGCTCAAGTCAACGGGCGAAGGAAGATATTGCAGCTATGAGGGATTCAAAACAGAGATGGAATCTGGATTGAAGACACCAATCAAATGGCAGATGAAGCAGTTCACTACTTTACTGAGCAGTTCCAAGAAGACAGAAGTCCATGTGATTTTGAAATTATAGATCATGTTCCAAAATTGGTAGGAACGGAGCAGAACATCCACTTGATGAGGCAGGCCACAAAAGAGGAGGTACAACAGGCTACGATGGGTCTAAATGGAGAAAGTGCAGCTGGCCCGGATGGTTTCACAGGCGCTTTCTTTCATTCATGTTGGGATATCATTGGTGACGACGTCCTTAACATGGTTAAGAGTTTCTTCAATGGTCATGCGCTACCAAAATTTGTAACTCATACAAATCTAATTCTATTACCAAAGAAGAAAGAAGTGCAAACATTTTCAGATTTGCGTCCAATTAGCTTAAGTAATTTCATCAACAAAGTTATATCAAGGGTGATTCACGAGAGGCTAGTTAGTCTACTACCTACGCTCATTTCTGATGAACAAGCTGGGTTTGTAAAAGGAAGAAACATTGTTGAAAATGTGATCCTCACTCAAGAGATAATCACTGATATTAGACTAAGAACGATGGTCGGGCCAAATGTAGTGATTAAACTAGATATGACGAAAGCCTATGATCATTTTTCTTGGTTATTCCTCACTAAAGTCCTGAGGCAGATGGGTTTTTGGGAAACATTTATTGGCTTGGTGTATGGAATTGTGTCTAATAATTGGTACACCGTTCTCATCAATGGTCAACCACATGGTTTCTTCAAGTCTACTAGGGGCGTCAAGCAAGGAGATCTGCTTTCACCAACTCTCTTCATTCTTGCAGCTAAGGCATTATCACGGGCTTTAAATGATTTGCACCTCAACCTCTACTTTTGTGGTTTTGGAATGCCAAAGTGGAGTCCAAAAATAAACAATCTATCATACACCGACGACACTATAATTTTTTCTTCATCAGATGCTAAATCTTTGCAGTTGGTAATGGAAATTTTGGCAGCATATGAAAGAGCATCTGGACAGCAGATTAACAAGTCCAAATCAGCTGTATACATGCATGATGCTTCTCCTCAAGATGTGGTGAATAAGATCCAAAGAATTACGGGTATTTCCAAGCAAGAATTCCCTTTCATTTACCTTGGATGCACAATTTTTTACACTAGAAGGAAAATGGAATTTTCTGAAGGTTTGATCAACAAAGTCACGGACAAATTGCAAGCATGGAAAGGAAAATTATTGTCCATTGGTGGTAGGGCGATTTTAATCAAACATGTGTTACAAAGCATGTCGATCCATCTACTATCGGCAATGAACCCCCCCTCCATTTGTCATCAACAAGTTACACAAGATTTTCGCACAATTCCTTTGGAGTAGTTCTATTGGTGGCAAAAGTAGGTACTGGGCATCATGGGATACTTTATGTCGACCTTATGAAGAAGGAGGAGCAGGTTTTCGATCACTACACGATGTTGCAAAAGCTCTATTCTCTAAACTCTGGTGGAATTTCATTACAAAATCAACATTATGGAGCTCTTTCATGTCACAAAAATATTGCAAAAAATTAAATCCAATTGTTGTACCTTGGAGATATGGATCACATGCTTGGAGAAAAATGCTGGAATGTCGGGACATTGTTGAACATCAAATTGGGTGGCGTACAAAAATGAGTTCATCACTTTTCTGGTTTGACAACTGGACGAGACTGGGAGCTTTATACTTTATAACTCCTCCTGAATTCTACATTGATGAATCAGTTAATAATGTTTCTGATGTTGTGGATAGAGGAGCTTGGGATGCAAATAAGTTAGCGAACATTCTGCCTGAGGAATATACTGTGCACATTCTCGACAATATCAAACCACCAGGGGAGCAACAATTACTTGACAAACCATACTGGTGTCTTGAGACAGGAGGTAATTTTGCAGTTAAATCAGCGTGGGAGTATTTGAGGCAGAGAAATGATACAGGGGAAGCATACAAAAAGATGTGGGTAAAGGGTTTACCATTCAAGATCTCGTTCTTTACGTGGAAAGTGTGGAGAGTGAAACTACCTCTAGACGACCATTTGAAGAGAATGGGATACTCCATGCCTTCGTGCTGCTGGTGTTGTGCGCAACTAGGGGAAGAAACCTTAGTGCATCTGTTCTTTACCTCGTTTGCTGCCAACAAAGTTTGGTCATATTTCCTAATGAATGCTGGAATTAATCTGGAGAGTATGTCGATGCACGAGGCAATCGTGATGGACGCTCAAAGTGTTAGCAAGATTGAAGCCAATTTTTCAAGCACTTCCGGCTATCATTTTATGGGAGTTGTGGAAGAGAAGAAACAGCTACAAGCACGGGGAAGCAGTAACGATTAGAAGGGTGATATATCAGGTGTCCACAACCATTCAATCTCTTGTTAAACTAAGGAAACTTGGCTTGGCTAACGTTCCTCAAAACTGGCCACAAATTCTGTGCATGATGGAACAATTCACGCCTCCATTGAAGGTTACTAAAGTTTTATGGGAAATGCCACCACAAGGATGGATCAAAGTCAATTGCGATGGGGCATCGAGAGGAAATCCAGGCAGGAGCTCAATTGGTTACACACTTAGAGATGATGAAGGCAACATAAATTATGCTTGTGGAATGTTGATACATGAAACAACAAACAACGAGGCAGAGGCTTTGGCAATTGTTGAAGAACTAAAATACTGTGAAGCGAAAGGATTCGCGCAAGTTATTTTGCAAACTGACTCGCTCCTCTTGAACAATGCTATAGAAGGAATTTGGGCTGTTTCGTGGGTCATTGCAGAATATGTAGATGAAATCGCAAAGGCAATGTCAAGAATTCATGTGAAACTATCACATATCATGAGAGAAGGGAATTGCAGACCATCTAGCGAATCAAGCACTTGACATGGGCAACATCGAAGCACAGTGTTTTCAAGAGCTGGATACAAAAGCCAGGAGAATTGTCAATAATGACAAATTACAATATCCTTATCTAAGGGTGAAAGTTGTAAGACAATAAGGATGCAAGCGAGGAAGGAGATGGCTAAAACTGAAAGGTTACATTTTTCTAATAACTCACCTTTCTGTTTTGCAGGAACAACTCCTTTTGACATGCCTTACTTGTTGATCAGACTTCAAAGGGTGGTTTTACCATATACTGTTCATTTAATTGGAGAATCTACCCTAAGCATGAAGGATTACGAGCAGGAAGGTCAAGGTTCTCATTACGCTAGCACACTGGAAGTGCACAGCTACTTCAGAATTCCATTGAAATTGGTTTCTTGCAGAGAATCACAGCAAATACCCAATCCAAGTTACATTAATTTTCTCAATCTATTGGCACAACAATATGGACATTCATTCACTGAATGTACATGTTTTGTTAGGGGCAGACTTGGTCGACAATTCTCGACGCCACTTGTTAAATATATTGTTTACTCGATGATGCAAAATGGTATGCAGTTAATAAAATTTTTATAGCTGGAGATATGCACTGTTACTACTCCGGGACATCAACCAATTCTGGGCTTCGATTCTTGTTCGATCTTTCCACACTTCTGCAGCAAAGCACGCAGAACCAATCATGCGCACATGGGATGCCTTATCTTCATTAACCTATTTATTTCATTTGCAGGTGCAGTTTCTATATCTAGGCTCTATTATTTAATGGATTTCATTTTGGTGGTATTAGTGCAATGCACTCATTCCAAGGGGAGGAAGTTAAAGATAGAAAAAAGAATAGACTGAAAGGAAGGATTGCATATACAAAGATTTTCGGTTATGGAATTTTTCAATATTTCATTTGAACCCAAACATGGGTGTGGCAATTCGCGCAAATCCAGAATAAAATTGGACATATGCAACAAATTATTGCACAGCTTTGTGATCGGTTTTATGGGCCATAGTAACGACACTAGCTGGTGTATCGCATTTGTCGATAACTACTCCTCTCCACAATGCTATCCACAAATGCTTTCTTTGATATAGTACTGGAGGTTATTTTCAAAAACATTGAAGTACTACTGCGATGATAGGAGAGAGGCCAATGTGTTAAGAAACCACTATTGCACAGACTTCATACAAGGCAACATAACAACATGGAAGATCTTCAAAGTGCTACAAAAGGAATATGGTCATTTGCGCTACAAACTAAAGTATGGACTAAGCCAAAAATGTATAATGCAAATGCATATACATCCTCACATTACATGCTTTTTTAGTATGGAAATTGTACTGCCAATGTTGAGTATTTACCTCAACACCGGTAATAGGATTTATGTGCCACTAAACTTTTATTTCTTTCATCGCTTAAGACCACCAGAAACTTTTATTAGTTGTAATATTTTTCTTTTTCTTCTGATTTTTATATATAAAAACTAGCCCTAGGCGCTTGCCTATCCGATTGCCAAAAAAATATATATATGATTTTCTCTCAATTTTATACCTAAAATCGTGGTCAAAATCCAAGAATATCAATTTTCTAGGTTTCCCCTCAAACCCCAAGTTTTTACCAAAATTTCATGCTAAAATCTGCACATAATCTATGTATTTAACCCAAGATAGGTTGGGTTAGCTTACCTTATCGTTGCTGAAGAAAAACCCCACTTGAAGCTCTCCAAAAACGTCCACACCAAAAAAAAAATAGGGGAAAAATGACCAACCCCCGATTTTAAAAAAACATACTGCCTCCAACACTTCCGCACATGCGGTCACACGACCGCTTCTGCGGTTCCGCAAGTACGACCCCTCTACCGCTCTTGCGGTTTCTCTCCAGGCTCCCATTTTCGCTTCTACACCTCAACTCCCGCAGGTGTGGTCCAACTTCTACGGCGAGATGACCACATCTGCGGTCCTTACACTTCCGGCCCAAAAATCACATCTGCGGCTCTCCTGGCCGCTTCTGCGGCTCCGCACCTGCGGCCAAAAAAGCTCGCAGGTGCGGTTACACCAGATATCAACTGCCTCAATCCTTTCTCAAATTCCAAAGTTGATCTGTTAACCATCCGGAATCCACCCGAGGCCCCCGGGACCCAAACCAATTATACCAACCAGTCCCAAAATACATTACGAACTTGCTCGAGGACTCAAATCACATCAAACAACGCTAAAATCATGAATCGACCTCCAATCCAAGCTTAATGAACTTTAGAATTTCAAACTTCAAAATTCGATGCCGAAACCTATCAATCACATCCGATTGACCTCAAATTTTGCACACAAGGCATATTTGACGTTGCAGACCTACTCCAACTTTCGGAATCGGAATCCGACCTCGATATTAAAATGTCCACTTTCGGTCAAACTCCTCAAAAACCTTCAAATTTCTATCTTTAGCCAAATTACTCCAAAATGACCTGCGGACCCCCGAATTCACTTCCGATCGCGCTCCCAATACCAGAATCTCCATACGGAGCTATCCCCAGACTCGGAATCCCAAATGGACATTGATAACACTGAAAGGCACTTTAACCCAAACTTATGAAATCCTTCCAAAAATGCTAACTTCCACAATAGGTGACGAAACGTTCCCGGGTCTTCCAAAACCCGATCCGAACATATGCCCAAGTACAAAAATATCGTACGAACCTACTGGAACCTTCGAATCACGATTTAGAGGTCGTTTACTCAAAATTTCAATCTTAGTTAATTCTTTCAACTTAAAGCTTCCGAAATGAGAATTCTCTTTCGAAATAAACTCCGAACTTCCCGAAATTCAATTCCAACCATGCGTGCAAGTCATAATACATGAAGTGAAGTTGCTCATGGCCTCAAACTGCTGAACGACGCGCTAGAGTTCAAAACGACCGATCGGGTCATTATACCAAAATGATTACCTCCATATAGGGTCGGGTTACCATTCTAATGAGATAACTGTAGTAAATAGATGTTATTATAATTTTAATTTTAAGCACCAAGCTTTATGTGATAAAATAACTTAGTTTCTTTTATATCAGGTACTCAAGATGTGGCTAGTCCTAAGTACATCACATAAAAGAGAACTCAAAATTGACATCTCACAATGATTTGTCTAAATAGTCAACTAAATCGAATGTTGATTAGAATGATTATAGGTATACACATTACATAAGCATACTGCTTATCAGAATCCCATCGCTAGAATATGATTCTTATAATTAATTCAAAATTTATAAGAATCAAGTAAAAAATAGCAGCGCAACTTTAAAAACATATTTAAGCAAAAACATGTACTATTTTAATTTATAACTCGTTAAACTTTACCACTAATAGAATATGGAGTGCACGATCTCGCTAAACACCAAACACATGACAAGCAGATGCAAATAAGAACTTATGACAAGGAAAAACATAATGCTTCCATAATTTAAAAGTCAAATTATTTCCATATAACCAAATATGCAAACACACAAGAATCAAAAGCTTTTATGATAACTAAAGAGACAACAACAATTGTTTCCTTGTCAGATCACGTGGGTTTACCAACCTCTTTCTCTTCAATTTTTTTATTATCTCAAACAAATGTACCAATATTATGCAAACCTTGAAGGAAATATTCTTACCGCAGATCTCCTAATTTACAATTTTAAATAATGAAAGCTAATAAGACAAATTAATTACTTGCCAATATATCTTCTGTATCGATTCAAGCACTCAGATAGTAAAGCCCCATTATCAACATGAAACTATTTACGCCACTAGAATTCTATCTAGTTAGCATAAACCTAAGACAACCAAAACTCCTAACATCCAAAACTGTTTCAACGCTTAAAATAAGGCAAGATGAGGCAAAACACATAGGCACCATATGTATAGGAAGTACACATATTAGCGATAAGTATGATGCATATTACGTAGACAATATCAAAATCTTTTCAAAATATTGAATAATACAGCTAAAAGGCCGGCTCTGATACCACGATGTAGATTTTAAGCATACACACAGAGTCTACACAGTAGAATATAAATAGAAATGTACCTTCAGTCATGGTTTTTCAAGTGATGTGGAAAATTGCCTTTGAAACCTTTAGCAGAAAAACTAGAGAGACTTCTAGCATGTGCCTATTGTAGGATGATGTAACGACTCGGCCGTCATTTTGAGAGTCATAGCCCTGATCCCATGTTAACTGCTTCCCCCATATCTATTTCTGCTATGGTGACTGGCCGGCAGGTTTCGTTTCGGTTTTTGAAGTGTTCTGGGACACTTAGTCCCTAAACGGAGGCTTAAGTCTTAGGATTTAGACCGTAGTCAGAACTGTATGATGATGACTCTGAAATGGAGTTTCGACATTATTGTTAGCTCCTTTGGGTGATTTTGGACTTAGGAGCGTGTCCGGATTGTATTTTGGAGGTTCATAGCTCATTTAGGCTTGAAATCGGGAAGGTTGAATTTTTGGAGATTTGGACCGGTAGTGGAATTTTTGATATCACGGTCGGATTCCGATTCTGGAAGTTTGAGTAGGTCCGTAGAATTGATTAGGACTTGTGTGCAAAATTTGGGGTCGATCGAACGTGGTTTGGTTGGTTTCGGCATCGGTTGTCGAATTTAGAAGTTTCAAGTTCACTAAATTTGGATTGGAGGGTGATTTTGTGATTTTAGCATTGTTTGATGTGATTTGAGGGCTCGACTAAGTTTGTATGGTGTTTTAGGATTGGTTGGTATGTTTGGTTGAAGTCCCGGGGGCCTGGGGTGAGTTTCGGGTGCTTAACGTATGGAGAATTGGACTTATGCAATTGCTGAAGCTGCTGCACCTGGTGTAATCACACCTGCACACTTTGGACCGCAAAAGCAGCCACGGAGCTGCAGATGCGGTTTTGGCCCTGTCCAGTTGAGGCCGCAGGTGCGGTGATAGATCGCAGAAGCATATGCGCAGAAGTGGTGGAGGACCGCAAGAGCGAGGCTCGCAGGTGCGGCCCAGCGCTCGCAG